GTTGTCCAGATCATTTCTTTCTATTTTTTAGTAGAGACGGGGATCTCGCTCTTGCTTAGGCTGGCCTCGAACTCCTGACCTTGAGCGATCCACCCACCTCGGCCTCCCAGAGTGCTAGGATTACAGGCGTGAGCCACCGCGCCCGGCCCTAATGAGTGTTTCTATCATTAAGCAGTGTTGGATTTTGTCAAATGCTTTTTCCGAATGTATTGAGATTATTATATGGTTTTTGTCCTTTATTCTACTGGTATGGTACATTACGTTAACTGATTTTCAGAAGTTAAATCAACATTGTATTCCTGAGATACATCTCACTCGGTCATGGTATATCATTCTTTTCATATGTTGTTCTATCCAGTTTTCTACTATTTTGTAGAAGATTTTTACATCCATATTCATATGAGATATTGGTTTGTAGTTTTCTGATGATGTCTTTGTCTGGTTATGATATCAGGGTAATACTGGCTTCATAGAATGAGTTGGGAAGTGTCCTCTAGTGAAGAATTGATATTGACGCTTTAAATGTTTGGTAAAATTCACCAGTGAAGCTATTTGGGCCTGTGAAAAGTTTTAAAATTACTCATTCAATCTCTTTACTTGTTTTAGATTTATTAAGATTTTCTATTCTTAGTTTTGGTAGTTTGTGTTTTCTAGGAATTCACCCATTTTATCTAAGTTATTTAATTTGTTGGCATGGAGTTGTCCCTAGTATTCTCATGTAATCTTCATTTCTTTAAGAATAGTAGTAATGTTTTCTCTTTGACTCCTGATTTTAGAAATTTGTCTTCTCTCTTTTTTCCTTGTTCAGTCTAGGTAAAGGTTTGTCAATTTCGTTTATCTTTTCAAAGAAGCAACTTTCAGGCTTTTTTCCTTCTATTTTAAGACATTTTCTATTTCATTACTTTCTGTTCTAATCTTTATTGTTTCCTTGCTTTTCCTTGCTCTGGGTTCCTTTGCCAGTGTCTGAAGGTAGAGGGTTAGGTTATTGATTTGAGATCTTCTGTTTTAATCTAGGCTTTTATAGCTATAAATTTCCCTTTAAGTTCTCTTTTACTACATGCGTACATTTTGATATGCTGTGTTCTCATTTTCATTCATCTCAAAGTATTTTCTAATTTTTTGGTGATTTATTCTTTTTTTTTGAGACAGAGTCTCACTGTGTTGCCCAGGCTAGAGTGCTGTGGCATCATCCTGGCTCACAGCAACCTCAGACTCCTGGGCTCAAGCGATCCTCCTGCCTCAGCCTCCCAAGTAGCTGGGACTACAGGCATGTGTCACCATGCCCCGGTAATTTTTTGTATATATTTTTAGTTGTCCAATTAATTTCTTTCTATTTTTTTAGTAGAGACGGGGTCTCGCTCTTGCTCAGGCTGATCTTGAACTTCTGAGCTCAAGCAATCCTCCCGCCTCGGCCTCCCAGAG